ATAGTCCTTGGTTTTAGTCCTAGGTCCATGATCCACCTTGAGTTGGTTTTTGTGTATGGAGTGAGGTGTGGGTCTTGCTTGAGTCTTTTGCAGATAACTACATTAACAGTTGGCTGCGTTTTTAAGCCTGGTTTAGAGTGGAGGGCTAGAGAGAAGTCGATTTGGACTGAGACTTTTCTGGAATACTTTTAGGTAAATTTAACTTAATCTGCAAGAACATATACTGTTTATTTAACAAGAGATCCTGAGGTAGGTAGTTTCATGGTAGATACTGGACGCATAACAATGTCCTTGACCCAGCTTGTTGCTCTTGTTTTCTTTGGTTTTTTCCACCGTCCTTATTGGATTGACACAGTAATCACAACAATGTTAAAGGTAAAGTTAGTAAAGTTAAAGTACAGAAAGAAACTGCATGTATGATGCCATTTCTACAGCTGCTTTTGTAGGATGTGCCTGGGTCTTGTGATGAACAACTTATGGCTGCTCTACTTGATCTGAACTGTCTTATGGGGAAAAAACCTTACTTGTTATCAACTCAACACATTTCCTTTAAGTTTAAACCACTTCTTTCACAGCTGACCTCCCTTGGGTTTCCAAGGCTGGAAATGGCAGGGGAGGAGAGTGACCCTATTTCCCTTGCTGTTGCTGCTGCTGGATTTGGACATTTGAGTTAGCACAACTGCCTACAGAGTACAGTGCTAGAATTTCCTTCAACTGTTATAATTGTTAAGAAATGTAATTTTCATTCAACATATTGTATTGTGTAAAAAGAAGAAACCAGAAAACCAGGACTGCTTTTAATCAAAGCACTTTCAAAGTTCAATTTTTTTTTTTTACAAATTTAGCAATATCACATAATAATAATAAAAATCAGGTAAGGGTGTTTTTTTTCTTTCTTTCCTTATGAATTGAAACTATTCCCTCACACTGATTGTTTACAAAAGTCGTCTTTGATAAGAGCAACTGTTCAGGAAGGTCTTTAAGGATTTACAAGATTCTAGATGAGATAGCAGAGGTTTAAACAAAAGGTGAAAATTTTAGAAATACAAAGTAGTCTGAGCCAGAAGAGAGATTTTTTTTCTCCCCCTAGCATGGTGTGCTAGATAGGAGATGGGGTGATTACTATGTTCTTGCAAATGGCTCTGATATTAAAAGCCTTACTGTTGTAAAGGGGGCCATTGTTGTTAGGAACCATCAAGTGACTGAATCACAGTGGCCTAGTCAACAACAAAAGGAAACCTTGCCCAGAGCTGCGCCATCCTCACACCCCTGCCTTGCTCGGGTCTGCTGTTGCAGTGACCATGTCAGTCCATCTTGCTGAGGGTCTTCCTCTCTTCCACTGACCCTCTCCTTTTCCAAGCATGCATAACCAGAGTACATGAGATGAAATTTCACCATCCTCACCTCTCAGGAACACCCTGGTTGCACTTTCTCTAACACAGATTTGTTAGGATTTTTTTTTTTTAGAGAGGGCTGGTCTTTTAAATTCCAAGGTTTTGTGTGCATGGTAGAGAAACTTCTGAAAAAGCAGTTTGCTATATTCTTGACAGAGTATTGCAATGTTATGACTTCCTGGGCAGTTTTGAAAGCTTAGAGAAAAGTGTGAGAGAGTTTAACATTGTGTCTGGACTTAAGTCAAGGATAGAATGCCTGCAACAGACAGCAGTTTCTGTCAATCATATTCACTCTGTTGTTTAAGCTCTAAAGCCAAACCTATTCTGTGTCACCCTTATTGCTCCCCTACCTTCAAGAGATTTTACATTGAACTGCTCTGTCTTAGTCTTAGTATCTATTCTTAAAAAAAATCCACAAAAGCATCTTCCCTGCTTTTTAGAATAGGAACCTGAAGTTGTTTAGACAGCTGGAGACTTTATACTGTGTGACTGTGGTACACGTGTGTGACTGTTGAACATTAGCTTATTGATCATACTAAAGTACAGCAGAGAGAGGAGGTTATGTGGGTAACAACTACAAAGAAGGGTGACCAGGGAATGGCAGAAAATTGGGAGACAAGGGCCCCCCTATTACAGATCAAGGAGGATATCAGGAAAGCTACCCAGAAGGTCTTAAGGTTGCGCTTATAACTTAATGGTTAAATTTGTAATCTAATGGTTGAGTATTTATATATAAAGTCTTCAGCTTTTAAAATTGCCAATATATGAATTAAAAATTAGAGATACAGACTTCAGTTTTATTTCTATGTTATTGAAGTGGTAATCAGATGTTATTATTAGTTTTTTATTTTTATTTTTTAAAAGTGGCTCTGTAGACATATGTGGTTTATTTTCTTTCTCTTGGAAAACCAGCCAAATCATTTGAAGACAAAAAGGTTCTTTTCACTATAGGGAGAATTTCACCAGCAGGCTATTGAAGGCAGTACATATTTTGGTACTATGGTTTTGAGTCATTTATTTAGTACTTATTTACCTAGTATTCTTGGTCCCAGCACAAGATTAGGTGCTATTGGGGATAAATAATAGGGAAAATGGCCTCTCTGTCCAAAATTTACAGAAGGAGAGAAAAAGTATTTCTCATCTGTCTTCTCAGCCCTTTACATACAATTGCACAAATGTTCGCCCGTGTAGTTTTCACATGCCCTTTAAGACCTTCACTAGCTTATCCAGAAGCATTCTTCCTCCCAGGCTGAACTGGGCCCTAAAACATCTAAACTGAACTCCACTCATAACTAGCTTGTCTTTTTTTTTTTTTTTGCTGTTGGTCAGTTCAATTTTTACATCACTGAGCACAGGAACCGGCTAAGGTGTGGCATATTCCTGCCATCAGCAACTATTCATTGTCTGACAGAAAGATGACAGTATAACTCTGGAGAGAATTGCTTCCATTCTATTTTGGCAACCGTACTTCTGCTCATTTAAGGTTCAGTGAAAAACAGATCATCAGAAGAAATATTTACCATTTCCCTGCTCTGTGGCTGGATAATATTCATGGGCCTTTATTCTTGGATTTTTGATACATTAAGACTACACTTAAATGCTTAGAGAAGAATGACAAAAAATTAGTGTTTGAATTGCACTAGAATCCTCAAGATTCTCATTTTCTCTAGGTTTTTGTTCCACCATTTTATGATCCTCTGTTTCGAAGACAGCAAGAGGTAGCTGAAGAGGGCAGAGATATCCTTCAGTTGAAGACAGGTACTCTGTGGCTTCCTTTTCAAGGACAGATTTGTCAAATTATTTCCTGTTCCAGAAGTAACTGGAGTTGATGTAAGAAATGTTGATTGAGAGTTCTACTCTTCCTGCAGGAAAAAAATATTCAATAAAAGAATTTACAGAATTAGAGAAGGCCAAGATGCATTCCAACTTGCCCCCATTCACTTTCACTCTACACAGCACGGTTCCAAAAGAAATGCGGAAACCCTTTACCAGATCCTGGAAAAGAAAAATTCATAGGGAGTGCAGGTAAGCGTGAACAAGCTTGAGGATTGCTCGTAGAACAATATGTGTTTAACTTGTACTTTAGTTACAAGTCGGGCTAGCTTTAGTGGCCTAGTCCATAGGGCATTGTGCTATACCAATGGCCATGCCTCTCTGGCGGCTGGATTCCATGGTGGCTCCTCAGGCCAGTAACTCAGCAGTGATGGCTGAGGTAAATCAGAGTGCCCTGGGGATGCTGCTCACCTAACGGCAGCACCTCCCTGGTGGCCACAGTGGTCCTGCAGGAAAAGTATGGGCAGTCTCCTCCCGAGTGGTTTACAGTCTCCAAAAGCCCACTGGAAGTTCAGCTGTGAGTTCATTTCAGCTGGTTGAAAATGAGTTAAGATCCTTCAGTAAGTTTCATTTCCTTTATTTCTGTAAACACTGTAATGTTGCTCCATGGTTACATATTTCTATGGGTTTTGAAAAATGTGTAATGCCATGTGTTCATCATTACAATATAAGACTGAATTTCCCCCTACCCTTAAAAACCCATGTGATCCACCTTTATATCTTATATAAAATTTGAGACAATTGTGATCAGTTTTAGCTGAATGTGTAACCATTAACCATTTCATTTTACCATTAATGTGTTGATGTAGGCCATCAAGTCGGAACCAGCTCATAACTGAGTCTCCAGCAGGTTTTCAGAGGCAGTAAAGCACATGGGATTTGAACCACTTGCCTTTGGGATTGCAGTACAGCTTCTTACCATTAAGCTACCAGAGCTCCCTTACCCTTTAGTCATACTTGCACATGTTAGTATATTTAATGACTTGAACAGGCTGTAGATTTGTTGTGATGTTGATTCTCAGTCCTGGTATTGCCTGGCGGAGCTTTGTGTAGATGAAGCCCCCTGGGCTACTTGCCTTCACCTACGAGCAGCTTCTGTTTATTCCAGATGAATTTTTTTTAAATGCCTAAGGAGCTCTCACGCCATAAGATTAACCAAAGACCATACATCTCTGGTTGTTCAAATCACCAGTGGCTCTGTGGGAGAAAGAGGAGCTATCTTCTCTCATTAAGACCGATAGCTTCAGGAACGCTAATGGAGGATCACTGTGAATTGGAAGCAACTCCTAGTCAGTAGACTTGGTTTCTGTGCATACCGACAGAAGAAAGTCCTGGTAAAAGTCACAACTATAAAAAAGGAAATCAGTTGCTGGTTTTAATGAATGAAAAACTGAAATACATGTCTAGGGTTTAAATCCCTCACTGCCATTGGGCCTGTTCCGCCTAGTGACATCCCTTTAGCTCTTGTAGACTTTGAGGCTGTAAATTTTTATAGGATAAACCTGTTTGTCTTTCTCCTGCAGAAGAGCTGGTGGATTTGAACTTCTAACCTTTACTTTAGCCACCAAACACATTATGCACTACACTGCCATGGCTCCTTAAGGTTTAAAATGTTCATTGTAAATTAAAGGATAAATAAATTTACTTTTATATCTGTTATTTAACATATACCTTCTGTATATAAGGGAGTTCTGATGGCTCTGCCACCAGTATTTCAAATACCATCAGGGTTATTTTTGGTGGACAGGTTTCAGCAGAATTTAGACAAAGACAGTCTGAGAAGGAGCACTGGCCATCACCTTCTGAAGTAACAGATCTTTGAAAACTCTATAAATGCCAGCAGACTTTGTTGGGTATAGTGCAGGCAGATGAGCCCCTTGAGTTGTCAGGCACCCAGAATGTGAATGGAGGAGAGCTACCTCCTCAAAGTAGAGCCCACCTGAATGATGTGGTGAAGTGAAACTTTCACCCATGAAGGACCTTCATTGGCTGATGTGACATAACTCAAAACAAGGAGAAGTAGCTGCAAATAAGCATTAATAATTGCAAGCATCCATTAATAATTCTTGGGATGTACAAAATATGAGTCTAGCAAAATTGTTGTAAAAGATGAAATGGAACACATTGTAGTTGTTGTGTACCAACCCATAGTTAACCCTCTGGTGGGTTTTCAGAGGAAGTCTATCGCACAGGAGGAGATTGCCTATCTTTCTCCTTTAGAGCAGCTGGTAGATTCAAACTGTGTGCCTTTGCAATTAAAGCGCAACTTCTTGCCACTAGGCCACCAGAGCTCCCTATTCTAGGCATTGTGTGCTGTGTGCCATGTACCGTAGAGCTGGAACCAACCCATAGCTGACCCTCTGGTAGGTTTTCAGAGACAGTTAGTCACATCGGAGGAGATTGCCTGTTCTTTTCCTGTTAGGCATTAGTGAACTGAAATAGCCTGCCATTGGTCAATGTGAATCAGTGTCTACAATGTCAGGAATGTCACATTGAAAAGGAATGCTGTCACATTCATTGTCAAAAAGAATATTTCACCCTCTCTCGCCAGGCGTCCTCATGAGAGTGACATTGTCTTTAAACCCCGCGTGGCAATCCCTGATGCACCGCAGTGATGCCCAGGGAAGATAAGGCGACCTGGAAGTTCAACTACTTCCTTAAGATCATTCAACTTCTGGATGATTATCCGAAATGCTTCATCGTGGGTGCAGACAATGTCGGCTCCAAGCAGATGCAGCAGATCCGCATGTCCCTCCGCGGGAAAGCTGTGGTTCTGATGGGCAAGAACACCATGATGCGCAAGGCCATCTGGGGCCACCTGGACATCAACCCGGCCTTGGAGAAGCTGCTGCCTCATATCTGGGGGAACGTGGGGTTTGTGTTCACCACAGAGGATCTCACAGAGATCAGGGACATGCTGCTGGCCAACAAGGTGCCGGCTGCTGCCCGTGCTGGTGCCATTCATTGCTCTGTGTGAGGTTACCGTGCCAGCCCAGAACACTGGTCTGGGCCCCAAGAAGACCTCCTTCTTCCAGGCTTTGGGCATCACCACTAAGATCTCCAGAGGCACCATTGAAATTCTGAGTGATGTGCAGCTGATTAAGACTGGAGACAAGGTGGGAGCCAGCGAGGCCACCCTGCTGAACATCTCTCCCTTCTCCTTCGGGCTGATTATCCAGCAGGTGTTTGACAACGGCAGCATCTATAATCCTGAAGTGCTTGACATCACAGAGGAAACCCTGCATACCCACTTCCTGGAGGGTGTCCATAATGTTGCCAGCGTCTGTCTGCAGATTTGTTACCCAGCCATGGCCTCAATACCACATTCCATCATCAATGGGTATAAGTGGGTCCTGGCTTTGTCTGTGGAGACTGACTACACTTTCCATGACTGAAAAGGTCAAGGCATTCCTGGCTGATCCATCTGCATTTGTGGCTGCTGCTCCTGCTGCTGCGGCCCCAGCCAAGGTGGAAGCAAAGGAAGAGTCGGAAGAGTCGGACGAGGATATGGGATTTGGTTTCTTTGACTAAAAACCAAAAAGCCACCAACTCTGACAGCTTTGTGTGAAACAAGGAAATAAAGGCTTCATTCTCTTAAAACTCTCTAAGCTCTCTCTTATGGTATTAAATGAGGCTGAGCATCTAAAAAAAAAAAAAAGAATATTTCAAGGTCTGTCCTGAAATACAGTGCTTTCTGTGATAGAATAATATTCATACATATAAGCAAGACCTGTTAATACAACTAAGTATTCAAATATATGTAATAATCACTAAAACTAAAGATGAAGAAATTGAGGATTTCTCACAACTTCTGAAGTTTGATATTAGTTAAACTTGAGATTAAGATACATTGATAATAATTGGTGACTAGAATGAAAAAGTGAGAAATAAAGAAAGACTTGCAGTTGGAAACATAGCCTTGGAGACAGAAATGAAGCTGGAGATCACATAATAGAATTTTGTACCACTGGTGATTTATTAATGGCAAATATCTTTTACACTGGCAATTTACTGTCTTAGAAGTGTTGGGTTTATTTGTGAGATGAATGTGACAATAAAATAAAATCTTGCCCCTCTGTAAAACAAAACAAAACAAAACAAAAACATCAACAGTGACTATACATGTGAAGCTAGCCTGATGAATACACAAGACTAAAATTGACTACATCTTTGCAAAGAGAAAGTGGCAAAGTTCACCATCAGCAGTAAAAATGAGGCCAGGGACTGATTGTGGAACACACCATCAAGTATCCATCTCCCAGTTCAAATAAAAAATGAAAACAAACTCATAAGAGCGAAAATATGACCTTGAGTCTATCCAACCCGATTTAAAAAGCCATCTCAAGAAAAGATATGATGCATGAAACACTAATCACCAAAGATCAGATGAATTGTGGGATGACATCAAAGACATTATACATGAAGAAAGTGAAAGGTCATTAAAAAGAAAAAAGACCAAAATGCATGTTAGAAGAGACTCTGAAACTCATTATTCAGTATACAGAAGTGAAAGCAGAAGGCAGAAATAATACCTAAGAGAGCTGTACAGAGATATCAAAGGGCAGCTTAAGAAGATTAACAAAGTATTAGAACAAAATGCGCAAAGAACTGGAGTTCTAAAACCAAAATGGAAGAACACTCTTGAAGAAATCCATCACTGAGATACGCTGGCACAGTGACCACAGACACGGGCTTGTGCACGATGGAGACAGCGAGGGTGGTGCAAGGTAGAAGGCTTTGGTCTGTTGTGCATACAGTTGTCATGAATCATAGTCAACAGTAACAACAACAGGAGCAACTACACACACAAGACTGGTGACATAATACATTTGTGTTGCACAGCTACCCATAGGTTGACAGTTTGAATCCACTAGCTGCACCAGGGAGAAAGATGGACAGTCTTCTTCTGTAAAGATTTACAGCCCTGGAAACCTGACACTACGTCTCCATGAGTGGGATCCGCTTGACCACAGCGGGTATGCATCTGTCCCCCGCCCCTTGGCTTTTCCTAGTTGTTGCTGCAGGAGAGTTGACCTGTTACACACTTCTAAATCTTGTTAAAGAAAATTCTTTTTATGTTTTCATACTATCTCCATGTTATCCCTGCTCTGAATTTTGCAAATAATCAACTCTCCTTTGTTTTCTCTTATGATTTGAAACTTTTGTCTTTTATTCTGTACTAACCATGGTTCCTTTACCGAGTTTCCTCAAGCATATTTTTATTTACACATCATTACATGACTCCTCATCCCTTCAACAAAGCACATGCTTTATTTTGCTTCATTTCCTTTACCAGTCCTTGCTAAAGGTTTGGTGGTGTTGGGGTTTTTTTTGGTCACTGCTCCTTGCTGGTCTTCTTCCCAGTAGTCTTGTCCACTCCTGCCCATCCTTTCCCTGCCACTAGAATGATCTTTACAAGTGATCAGCTCTCCCCAATTGAACACTCACCACTGGCTTCCCCCAGTCCTCCCTATGAAGGCCCGACTCCTTAACAACACACAGTGAGGGTGCTTTCTGGTACCTGCCACTCACATTCACCTAAAAATAAATATACATAAAAAAGATGATTTGGTCAGGTCAGCATGCTTACAAGTGCCACATTGTTTCATAATTTTGTTCTCTTGTCCAAAGCAGGCCATTCCAGTACCAGTGAAGGACTTCATAACTGCTCCTTTATAACTCCACATTCTTACCTGCCATTTATCCAGCAGCAAGCCTCTGAGTGCAGCAACCATCACATTTATTTTGGTGTTATCAGCATTTGGCTGGAATGCAGTAGATGATGAGTAAATGCTGCTTCAGTGAATGAATGGAGAAGCAGCCTCATTTCCCTAAAGCAACTAGGCTTCATTGGATAGGAATGAGCAGCCTGGAGAAGACGCCCCAGAGGGTGCAGCACATGGTGGCTTCATAGAGAAATAAAGGACTTTGGAGCAAGGAGGCTTTAATGGGGCCAGTGTAATGACAAAACCCAGAATCTGCTCAAAGAGATGCAAAACCAGGGGTGGTGATGTGAGGGGCTGGGCATGTTAGCATCAGTGTGTCACGGAAACCTTGTCCTTTAGCTCAGTTTGGGGAGCCAAGAGGCCGGTTCACTCCTCTTTGGGATTATGTGGTGTTGTTTTTTTGTTTTGTTTTTTATTATGTGGTTTTGTGTCACATTTCTTCTTTGTGAACCTGCTTCATTTCCCATTCCCTATACACTAGCTTTTCACTACTTACGTACATGCTGGAAAATGTTTTGCCTTTCAGTGGTGAGCACTCAGAAGCTGCCCAACAGCAGCTCTGGGTATTGAAGGCACACCCACCTTAGTTCGGCCTAGGTGTCCATTGGCAGTCTACCCAGCCACCACCATAAAGATCCATGCTCACTATCTACGTAAGAGCTGTGTCAACCAGGCCGGGGTTGGGACAGAGAGTGTGCTCAACAGCCCCTATGTCATAGTGTCTATTCAGGCTTTACTTTTCATAAGACATGGAAAGGTTCATTAAGTTTCAATTATTGATTCTGTACAGTTTGTACTGACTTTGTTCTTTCTTTGCAGACCTGAAATCCTAACCTATATACAAAGTGAATATCTGCCTGATAAAAACATTACCGACCCGAGTCAGATTGCTTTTAAAAAGCAATTTTATATCTCCAAGCTGAACCAGGAGATTAGAAGGGCTGAGAGGAAGGGTCAGGTGAGCAGAGGTTTGGGGGAAAAGGGGCTGGGATAGCTTGATTTTACAGAACCCTCAAGATAACACTGACTTGAACGTCTGAGCCATTGTTGCTGTCCTCTCTCCATGCCTGACTCCTGAGGGCAGAGGAAGTGACAGCTAAAGAAGGAAGTAAGAAAGAGGAAGCAGGTGGAGCGTTTATTTTGCTCAAACGATGGGATTGCTGGAGGCTTGGTGTGGCTGCACTGAAGGGGCATCTCTGGCCAGGAGGGCCTTATGTGAACAAATTTGAAAAACAGGAGATAACGGCTGTGCCTTTACTGGCTGACTGTCACAGCGTGTGGGACAAGTACCATTTAGTAAGTACCATATGAGCGGGAGCCAATGATGATGAAGGAGGAAGTGGAAGCAGCATTTAAGGCATTGGTAAATAAGGCCCCAGGAATCAATGGGATACCAACTGACTTGTTTCAATAAACAGATGCAGCCCTGGATGTGCTTCCCAGTCTATGCCAGGAAATTTGGAGGACAGCTCCCAGGCCAATAGTTTGTAAGAGGTCTCTATTTGTTCCCATTCCCAAGAAAGGTGATGCAACTGAATGTGGAAGCAACTGAACAATATCATTAATAGTACATGCAAGCAAAATACTGATGATCATTCAAAAAAGGCTAAACCAGTACATAGATAGGAAACGGCCAGAATTTCAAGCAAGATGTAGAAGAGGTTGAGGCACCAGGGATAGCATTGCTGATGCCATATGGAACCTGGCTGAAAGTAAAGAATACCAGAAGAATGTCTATTCATGCTTTATTGACTATTCAAAGGAATTTGACTGTGTGAATCATAGCAACTTCTGGCTGACATTGAGAAGAAAAGGAATCCTAAAACACTCACTTGTGTGCTCATTGAAACCTATACCAGGAGGCTGTTGTGTGAACTGAGCAAGAGAACACTTGTGTGTTATGTGCCATCGATATGTATAACAGTCCTGAATCCTGTTCTATTCTGTGCCAAACTTATTGTCTCTGACACATCTACCCTCATTACCCAAGTCATTGAATTATTCCTTCTCATTGAGGGTCTTCCTCTCCTGCGCTGTCCCTCCACCCTCCCAAGCATGACGTCTCTCTCCACGGACTGGTCCCTCCTTGCAACATGTCCAAATATGTCAGACAAAGCTTCAGAATCCTTGCCTCCAAGGAGCAGCCTGGTCTCACCCCTTCTAGGACAAACCTATTTGTTCTAGCAGTCCATGATATATTCAATAATTTTATCCAGCACCAAAACTCAAAATTCACTATCATCCGCACTACATGCTTTAAAATTAGGAAGGGAGTGTATCAGGGTTGTATTCTCTCTCCATACCTATTCAATCTGTCTGCTGAGCAAATTATTTGAGAAGCTGGACTTTATGAAGAGGGATGTGGCTTCAGGATCGGAGGGAGACTTGTCAATAATCTTTGTTATGCAGATATGAGGAGAGGCGTGGCGTTAGGATTGGTGGACGATCTATCAACAATCTGCGTTATGCAGATGACACAACCTTGCTCGCTGAAACTGAGGAGGACCTCATGCACTTACTGCAGAGGGTCAAGGACTGCAGCCTTCAATGTAGACTGAGGCTCAATGTCAAGAAGACAAAAATTCTCACCACTGGACCAATCGGTAGCATCAGGATGGATGGCGAAGAGATTGAGATTGTTCACAGCTTCAGTTTGCTCGGCTCCACAGTCAACACTCTTGGCACCAGTAGCCAGGAAATAAAAAAATGTATTGTGATGGGAAAGTCTGCGGTTAGGGACCTCTCCAAAATACTCAAGAGCAACAGTGTCTCTCTGGAGACTAAGGTGCACCTGATACAGGCCATGGTTTTTGCAATCACTTGTTATGCATCAGAGAGTTGGACAATGACTAGGGAGGATAGAAGGAGAATTGACGCCTTTGAGCTGTAGTGCTGGAGAAGAGTACTGAATGTACCATGGACTGCCAAGAAAACAAACAGATTCATAGTAGAGAGGATCAAACCAGGCTGCTCCTTGGAGGCAAGGATTCTGGGACTTTGTCTGACATACTTTGGACATGTTGTAAGGAGAGACAGGTCTTTAGAGAGGGACATCATGCTGGGTAGAGTAGAGGGACAACGCAGGAGGGGAAGACCCTCTATGAGGTGGATTGATTCAGTGACTGGGGTACTCAGGATGGGTGTGTCAGAGGCAATGAGATTGGCGCAGGATAGAGCACGGTTTAGGGCTGTTGTGCATAGGGTCGCTATGAGTCGCAAACGACTCGACGGCACATAACAACAACAACAACAATGCAGATTACACAACTTGGCTTGCTGAAAGTGAGAACTTGAAGCACTTGTTGCAGAAGATAAAAAAATACAACCATCAATATGGATTGCATCTCAATGTCAAGAAGACAGATATTCTTGCCATTGGACCAATAAGCAACAACATGATAAATGGAGAAAAGATTGAAACTGTCAAGAAGTTCATCTTACTTGAATGCACAATTAATACCCGTGGTACCAGCAGTCTGGAAAACAGGAGATGTATTACAGTGCAAATATTTGAAGAGTAATTATGTCAGTTTGAGGGCTAAGGAGAGTCTGATTCAGTCCATGTATTTCCAATCACTTGCTGTGCATCTGAGAGTTGTACAGTGAATAAAGGTGCCAGAAAAGAAGAGCTGATGCCTTTGAGTTATGGTATTGGTGAAGAGCACTGAACATCCTACGGGTGGCTAAAAGAACAAATATACCTTGGAGAGGATGCAGCCAAAGTGGTCTTTGGAGACATGAATGATGAGGCTTTGCCTCACATACTTTGGGCATGTTGCTAGAAAGGGCTGTTCTTTGGAGAGAGACATGATGCTGGGAAGAGTGGAGGGTTGGTGAAGGAGAGGAAGACCCTCAACCAGGTGGACTGACACAGTGACTGCCACAATGGGCTCTTGTGTGTCAGGAAGTGTGAGGATGGTGCAGAATAGAACAGGGTTCAGATCCATTGTTCATAGAATTGCTATGGATCGTACTCCTAACAGCTTTAGGAAATGGCTGATCTGGGGTAATGCATCCTTGTCAACTGAAAAATGAAAGACATCAAGGAGAAGTCCTGCTCTGGGAGGTGTATGTGGGCCAGCCCAAGGTGACACATGCCATTTCCTCTTATATTCCACGTGGACATGCCTGTCCCTAACCTTAGAGGGCAGGGCGCTAGAATCATTGTCCCTGGCTGGTATGAGCAACATGGGGGGACAGCGTGCATTTTGTGGCCAGCGAGTTCTATCGGCTGAACTGTAATAAGATTGGTATTATATGGTGTAAGGATACTGAAACCTTGTTTGAGAGTTGCTGAAACCTGACGGTGAGCATGAGCCCGTTAGTGACCTGCTTGAAAGCTGAGCAGCTTAGTGCTGGGTGCTCTCTCCCTGCCCCTGTGAGCCCCTCATCCCTACAACATACTCAACAATCCTCTTCTGCCAATAGGTCTTGGGAGCCAGAAAGCACAGACCTCGATCCTGGGCAGCAGGGGAAAGACTTCATCAGGAAGGGGTACATCCTCTGGAAAGAAGAGTTTTAACAGCAGAAGTGCTGGCGAAGCACTTGGCCTCCCTGCACATGAGGGCTAAGCAAGGCAGCCACAAGTTGTGCCAAAAGTAAAGGAAGGTGTTTGCAGTAAAGCCTTGTTGAATTACAGTGCGTGGTATGTAGACAACAGTTTGAAATACTGTAAATGATATTCACTGCTGTGAATCAAGAGCTGTGTGAGGTAATTCTTATTCATTTAAGCATTTTAAACATCTCAACACAGTAGTAATAGTAGCTCTTGGCATAGGAATTCAGGGAGGTTCAGAGACTTGCTCCTGGTCAATCTCACAGCTTGGGAGTGATTTCTTCCTGTTCCAGCCCCTCTGGTGCCAGTGCTCACACTCATTCTACCAGGCAACAGACACCCTTTGCAATGTTGTCACATGCTGAGAATCTGGGTCTCCTCGGGGTGGGTTCCCTTGCCCCCACACCATTTGATCCTGAGGAGCACGAAGCACTTGCCGAGTCTCCTCACAGAGTGGCACGCCAGCTCAGTCCTCCCCCGACTCTGACCTGCCATCCACGGGGAGCACGGGTCTCAGAGCAGTGAGGAGAGAACTCAATTTCTCTGCTCCTGTTTAGGAGGAGTGACTGAGGCTGTAAGTGTGCTGACGTTAAATGGTGTTGATGGGGTTGTGTGGCCCTGGGCCTGCAGGCCCCCAAAGATTGCAGCTGAGGTTATCTTAAATCTGACCAAAGCACCCTAAAGTATCTACAGATGAAGAAACGGTATTAGACGCAGTTCATCCTTGTGAGAATCAAAACCTTCACATTTCTTTGAAAAGGACTGTGGTTACAGTTATGAGTAAGCCCAGCATCATCAGGATCCATCATAGTTTTAAGCTTTCAACATCATCTAGTCAGAAGCAGATTCCCTACAAGATCGACCACCCTTGCCTCTGTAGCTGATAAAAAACATGCTCCCTAAACCCTATGTAAGACCAACACTTCCTCCTGTCAAGGCAATTCATGGTTTTGGTTTTAGATAGTGAGAGGTGCCTCTTCCTCCCACACTACAAAGTTATTTATTTTTTTGTATTGTAACTGATTCGGATTATTTGGGATAAGTGATGGACTTTTAAAGAAAAACAATTTTGAGTATATTGAAACATATTTTTGATCTCTTTTGATCAGTTATGCTGTTTGTAGGAAGAAGGGCCATGGTAGAGCCCGTGGGACACTGAATCATTCCTGCACCTACAACAGCTCTGAGACAACCTGCTCCCTTTAGAATCAGGGTTCCCATAGCGCAAGGGAGGCCTTCAAGAAGGGAGATCTTAGTTCCCCATCACTCCAGGGCCTTATTAAAATATACATATCAACATTGAAAAGAGTTTCAAATTTCAAAATTCAGAGGATGAATAAGAAGCCCTGACAAGTGTGGAGACAAAGGGACAGGTGGAGAGGTGGCTGCTGAGTAATGCTCAGGCCTCGTGCATCCTCTTTACCGGGATGAGACACCACCCTTGTCTCCTGCTCACCCAGACAAGCACAGTGCTCAGGAGTGTGAGAGCAGCTCCCACAAGATCATCCAGTGTCAGAGAAACAGAGGGACGGAGACATTAGAGAGCCTGCCAGAAGTCACAGAATGAGTTCCCGGCAGTCCTGACAGAGCTGTGGGTCTCCTGACCTCAGTCTTCGGTTGGTCGCACAAGGAGATTTAGTTTCCTTTTCAGTAATCTCTGGAGTTTCCCTTCAAGAGCTTCTCAAGTAGAAAGTAAACCAGTCATGCTTTGAGAGGAAGTTACATTCATAAACTTATATTTTAATTCTCTTTTTTCTGTACATATTGGCAATGACAAAGCTTAAAGAGGCATGTCCTATGAAATATGCAAAAAACAAGGAATTTACATAAATAATTTATACTTCAGAAAATGAAAACTGAAAAATATTTTCCACATCATTAGAGTTCACAGTATTAAAGTACATCGCGCCTTCTCAGATTTCATACAATATTGTCTCAGCAGAGAACGAGAGAGAGACTCTAATCAGGAACAAAACGATCAAGTTCCGGTGGTTTCTTCAGTGCAGAGCAGACAGTAACTCGGTATCAGGCTGCTCAAGAGCCGAGGCCTCGGCATTTCGTCCTCCTTCACCTCCTGAGTGGCTGTGACCCCACAGGGTTCACACGACACGGAATGGCTCCGGGGTGACCAAACCACTCCACGTGGACACATTCAACCAGTGGTAACTCCTGTGCGCCGATGCCTCATTTCCACATAATACTTTGTGTAGCCCTGAAAATGGAAACCTTGGCATCTAAACACAGCTCAAAGTGTTAACACTAATACAAGGCACTGTGCTATGGGGTTTGGTTTACTTATAGGAAAGATCTCGTTTGCATAGATTGCTAGCGATTTAGTGCGCAATAAAACAGAAGGTCCTGGCGCGCGAGGCTTTGGGATGGATGAAGCCGCGTGATGCTTGCTCAGCTCAGGGCAAGCGGTCAGTTTCTGTCCAGCTCTTCCCTGAGCCCCTAGGGGAGAGTTTTTTGTTCAAAAAGCTGCAGATCAAAGCGGACCCAGACTTCCCCGGTGGGGACCTCATGCAGGAGGAGCCGGCGGGTCGTAGGGCCTTTGCTCTCCTGTTCCGATCGGATTTTTGCCACGGGAACTTCAGTCCGACCTAGGAAATCTGTGAGGAAATAGTATGTGACAATCAAAGCTCTATTATTGAAAAAAACCCAAAAAAAGTGTTACAATCTAACCCCAGGAGAGGTGTCCGAAAGAGGATTTATAATCCAAATCTCCTTCCGTAATAAGCATTTCTTAGGCTTCATGGACGCTGCTATTGTGGAGGGACACGTCTAGGACAACAGACTAACGTGAGAGAAACTGGCTGGTGGAGCTCAGGCCCCTCTGGTCAGAGGGTCAGCAGGAGCCAGGGACATATGCTTGTCCACGTTATGCCCTTGGCTGGTGGCCGGGGCCAAGGAGAGTGACACCTGAGGTGGGGAAACACCCTTCCAAACGCCTCCTGACAGACAGGCTTCCCTTTCACCCCCTGAAGCAGGCACTTCACCTGCTTTGCAAGTGAGTGAATGACAGCTGTGACTCCCCTTAGAGTCCGGGTAGAGAGAAGACTGGGGTCTCGAGTCTGGGGGGGCCCTTCAGGTCCCACTGCTGAGCTATACTTTACCATCTGGAGAAAACTGGTCTCTGTCGAACATGGTGAGACACAGCACATCTTGGTCAAGGTCTTTAATAAAGAACTGGCAGTTAAAATTCCACTTGGGGTTCAGTGTGTCCTGGAGGGTTCTGGTGGTGTAGCTCTGGGGGCCCATGCTGACTTCACAGTATGGATTGCTCTTTCCTGAAATAAGAGACAGATGGGACAGGTGTTTTTAAGACAAGTGACACGCCGGTTGCTGTGGGCCCAAACCGATGCTTCACCACAGCCCTTGGCAGCAAGGAGCTTCCTGAGGGGCCACCAGCCCACCCTGTAGTCTGAAACATCATCCCATGCTAACCTCACACCTGTCTGGGTCCCCATGAGCCTGGGAAAGTGAAGTCTACCTTTGCTTTGGGCTTCATAAAGCATCCCACCCTTCACTGCTCAGATAAGCCATCAGCAAAGAGCAGGGCAGTCACCCTATTTGTTGAACAACAGAAGCATTTACCATTTGGTTTACAGGCTTTCAATTCCGTAGCTTCAATGACATGCACCATTAGACGTCCGATCCCAGAAGTCTTTTGAGAGCGGGCTATGAAAGAGGAAGATCAGTCACGTTACTTTCTTTTCTGGAAATGAAACTTGCAAGCTGGTGCTCAACTGCAGATGGTCACAGTGTGTTTTCAGAACCAATGTCAACACTGCCCCAAGCGTCACGGGGCATCACACTGGGCCTTAGCAGGCGGCATCTGGCTGTTCTGTGCCTTTGCTGAGCCCATGTCACCAGCTGGGGCATCCTCCTTGCCATCTCTGCCTAACAACATCATCCACATCCTTCAGGACCCAGGTCCACTGGTACCTCCACCCCACCCCTTCTGTCCTCTGTGCAGCCAATCTCCTAGGTGGGAAGCACCCACCGCCTGCTTGGTCTGAAGTTCTGAGCACTGTCTCCTCCCCAGAGAGGAACCTTTGGCAAGTACAGACTGGGGCTGTTTTTAAAAATTATTTTTAATTCTTTCATCCTTGTATTTCTCCTTCAATTGCCCAGAAAATAGAAACAATCATACAATATACTTGTGCAGCACTTACCAGCAACAATATTAGGTACTTTGTGTTAGCCCTGTGCTAAGACCCTTCCACAAACTGCACCATTTGTCCTGCACAGTCACCCCCCAGGGTCTCTGTAACTCCCTGTTGTCATGAGCTGCTGTGGTGTCAGTTCTGACTCACAGCGCCCCCACGTGTGCAGAGCAGAACTGCTCCATGGGCTTTTCAAGGATGGCACCTCTGGAAGCAGATGGCCAGGCCTGTCTTCCGAGGGTCTTTTGGAGGGTCTGAACTGCCAACATGTCATGACTAGTGGCTGAGACAAAACAGGTTTAGAAGAATCAATGGATTCAAGTCTCAGGCTGTCGAAATGCCAGGGTCATTCATGCATGTTTGACCCCCCAACGCTGGTTTTCTAAACCACTCACCGTGATTCCAGTGAAATGTGAAGACTTAAATTTGTAAAGCAGTTTCACTTATGACTTTATTCTATTTAAGGAGGTATTAAAAATATTAATATACAATTTAGCCAGTGAATTTGGATTATCTTGATAAACATGAACTCTCAAGGGAATTTAAAAGCAAAAAAAAAAGGCTGCTTGGTGAGTTATTTTTAAAAAACCAAGTCAAGATATATATAACTTTATGAGAAGTGACACCCTTCCCCACAAGGTGCCCACTTCTCTAAAGAATTGCTCCCAGTCCTGTAAGGCAAGGGCTGGGCCTTCCTCTCTTTGGGTCTCGCTGGCTGAGTACTGGGCCTGATGTCCACCGTACAGATGTGTAGACATTAACACAGAGAAAAAGCACAACAATATATACATATACTGATGCTATGCAAAACATACACACACACACACACACACACACACACGTGTGTGCATAACTTTATTAAAAAAACCCCAAATTTTGATTTATATCTTTGACCAATTATGAGATCATTATATGTTTTATAGATTTATTCAATCATTGATTTTTTTTCAACAGTAAACCTTCTGAGGTACCATTAAAATAAGATTCAGTTAGCAAAAGCTGATTTACACACATACCTTTTCAGGAGAATATTACAAAATAAGGGAAACCTGAATAAAAAAAAATATAATGATAAAAATAAAGAAGGCACACCAGAACAGCAGAGAACAGAGGACAGCCTGAGGTGATGGCCCTGAGACACCGTGTGAACCTAGAAAGGCCGATCCGAGGTCGTCTTTCTGTGAGACAGCACGTGGTGCATAAAGGATGTTACCTGACAACTAGTCCTCCACTTAAAAATCACATGTCCAAGACCAAAAGGTCAACAATTACTCAAACGCAAAATGAGAAGATATGGGGGCAGGGAAAGTAAGAGTACTAGAAACGGAACAAAAGAACAAAAGTGAATGCAGACACATTGTGATAAATATAAATAATGCCTTGAACAATTTGTGTGGAAATGATCAAATGCGAGCCTGACTGACTCTGTAGGTTTCCACTAAAAACTCTAACAAAGTGAAAAAAACAAACAAACACCAAAACCTAAACCAACAACAAAACCCAAAATTATACATAGAGCTGCAACCACAGCAGTTAGGATGGAAGTGTGAGGGCTGGACCTGTGTGCTTGGCTTGGACCGTGTGGAAGTGGGGACCAGGGAGTTTGGCAGGTGGAGACAAGGGATTGGCATGGTTGTGTGGAGAGACCAGCAAACAGGCCCACACAGCACAGATGGAGGACGCAGTGGAGCTGGAATCGGCATTCGCAGGAGCTGTGACAGTTCTGTTAAGAGGCCTCAGAAGGGCCAGTTGCTACATCCTGGTGGCCGGGAGCAAATAGAGGATCTGCCCCATGAACAGAACTGTAGATAAAGCACGTGGTTCTAAGACACACTGGGTCATGCAGGGTAAGTATGGTGTAACTTCAGGGAGCTTATGATTCAGTACGATTCAAGGGAGGAAAAAGGTGTTCAGGGACTTAAGTAGAGGCAACAGAGGAATGAAGATGAGAACAAGTCCACAGAACAGACTCCAGGTAGAAGTACTGGCTGGCTATGGCCTCTGGGGCAACATCATGGCGCAAGGCAGTATTTAACTTGGGCTATACAGAATGGAAAAAATTTTGATGTGAGATGAGAATTAAAAAACTTTCCTGAAGATAATGGGAAAAAAAATAATTCAGTAGTGTATCAATAGGGAACTGCCAAAAATGTAAGCTGGACTCGAAGAGAACATGCAATGAGGACTAACAGTGCTGATGTCAGATGGCGCTTGATAGAAAGCAGAGAAAACCAAAAAGATGCTTACTTGTGTTTTATTGACCATGCAAATATATTCAACTGTGTAGATCACAGCAAATTAAAGATAACATTGTGAAGAAAGTAAATTCCAGAATACTTGGCTGTGCTCAGGTGAAACCTAGATATTGACCACGTGGTGGTTGTTCAGCTACAAGAAGGTGATACGATGTGTTTTCAATCAGGGAAAATGTGTATCAAGACAGCATCCTTTCACTAAGTGTATATAATGAGCAAACCTGAAAAGCTGGACCCTATGATGAAGAACATGGAAAGACAGTATACAAAATAAAGAAGAAAGAACAGCAACCTAAAATATGATCATAACCACGCTTGCTGAAAGAGAGGAGGACTTGAAGATCTCTTCACTATTTCTCATAAAGGTCTATAGCTTTCCAGATGGCCTACACCTTCAACATAGAGAAAACAAAATCCTTACAACTGGATCACTAAGAATCACTGTGATAGGAAATACTGAAGAGCTCAAGGACTAAGTTTTACTTGGTATGTGCCTTCGAGTCACCTGTGACTCATAGTGACCCTATGTACAACAGCCCTAAATCCTGCTCTGTCCTGTGCCAATCTCACTGCCTCCAACATACTCACCCCCATGACCCCAGTCACTGAATCAATCCACCTCATAGAGGGTCTTCCCCTCCTGCGCCATCCCTCCGCCCTCCCAAGCATGATGTCCCTCTCCAAGGACTGATCCCTCCTTGCATCATCTAAAATTAGTGCCCATGAAAGCAGCAGTCAAGAAAGGAAACAGTTCAAAGAACAGGCAATCAAACAATGCATTATAAAACTGAGCACATCTGCTCTAGGGGTAGAAAATAAAAGATATCACTTTGAGGACTGAGGCTCTTGACCCGAGCCATAGAATTTTCAATCACCTCATATGAATGGCACCAGCGATATTACTGCTGGTGTCAGATGAAGCCTGGCTGAAAGCACAGAATGCCAGAAGAATGTATGTTTGTGTTTTATTGACTATGCAAAAGCATTTCACTGTACAGATCGTAACAAAATATGACTGAGAAGAATGGGAATCCCTGCATACTTAACTATATTCAGGGAAACCTATACTGAGACCAAGAAGCTGTTGTCAGAACTCACTGCACGGTTCAAAATAAAAGTGTGCCTCAGGGTTTTCTGCATATCTGTTCAATCTGCATGCTGAACAAATTATTTTGAGAGGCTGGACTTTATTAAGAAGAATGTGGTAACAGGATTGAAGGAAGACTCATCAACAACTTGTGCAGTATGCAGATGACCCAACCTTGCTTGCTGAGAGTGAGGAAGACCTGAAGTACTTGCTGCAGAAGATCAAGGACTACAACTTGCAATATGGGTTACATCTCAATGTCAAGAAACAAAAGTTCTCACCACTAGGTCAATAGGCACCATCATTATAGATGGAGAACAGACTGAAGCTGTCAACAATTTAATCTTGGTTGGATCCACAATCAACACCCTTGGTACCAGCAGCCAAAAAATCAAAAGATGTTATGCATTGGGAAAATTGGCTGTCAAATATCTTGCCAACGAGTTAAGTAGTGATGATTGCAATTTAAAGATTAAGGTGCACTTGAATCAAGCCACAGACTTTTCATATACTTGCTTTTTATCTGAAAGCTGGACAATGATGAAATATGACAGAAGACGCGATGCCATTGAGTTGTGTTGTTAGAGAAGAGTTCTGGATATCCCATGGATTTAGAAAATAACAGATAATCTGTTCTGGAAGAAGTGCAACCAGGGTGTTCCTGAGAGGCAACGGTGAAGCTTCATCTCACATAACCTGCATATGGTTTTAGAAGGTCCAGTCCTTGGAAAGGAGCATCATGCTTAGAGAGGTGGAGGATTAGCAGAAGAGAGGAAGACCCTCAGTGAAATGGACTGACAGAGTGATCGTAATGATGGGTCCAAGAATATCAGAGATGATAAGGATGGTGCAGGATAGGCGAGTTCAGATGCATTGTCCACAGAGTCCAAGAGTCACAGCTAGCTTGAGGGTACCTAACAACAACATATGCAGGTGAAAGCTGGATAATGAATAGGCAGACAGAAGAATTATATCTTTGAAATATGGTGTTGATAAAGAACACTGAGCATCACAAATTTCCAGAACAACAAATCCCTTGGAAACTCCTTGTAAGTGAGAATGGCAAGCCTTCCTCTTACATACTTCCAGCATGCTATAAGGAACGACCAATTCCTGGAGGACACCACACTTGCTTATGCAGAAGGTCAGCGAAAGAGAGGAAGACCCTCAATAAGACAGACCCTCAACACAGCGGCTCCAACAATGGGTGCAAACAGAGATGAGTGAGGCTGAGCAGGACCAGCCCGTGCCTCACTGTGTTGTGCATAGATTGTCAGGATTCGGAACCTGCTCAAAGGTACCTAACAAAAGAGCCTGTCAGCCGAGAGGGCAGCATGAAGGCATGACAGAAACTACGGAGTGTTCAGTTAGAGGGAGATACAGGAAATACTGGGAAGGTGGGGCTAAGAGGGGATATTGTGGGTAGACCCCTAGTCTTGAGGTAAGAAATCTAAGATTAATTTGGGAACTAACAGGAAAGAAGTCTATTCAGGGGTGGGTGTTAGAGCAAAGAAGTGTCATCACGGAATGTGGGGCTATAGTCTGGGTGGGAGATGAGGGTCTACCCTTGGGAAAGGAAGACAGTAAGCAAATGCAAAGGATAATAATGGAAGGGAATGGACATTGTGGGCAATTGACTCAATAGTGGGTTGAGGAAGGGGTCAAAAGAGTGTGTCCAGTCTGGAAGGCTACTGGGATCCTGGTCCTAGAAGAGCTAGTGCTGGGAAGACTTTAGTGGAGAAATCGAAGCTGGGAAGGAGGGACCAGTCCCGGAAATAGGACATCCTGCTTGGAAAGGTGGAAGGTCAGTGCAGGAGGGGACAGACCCTCAAAGAGGTGGATCGACACAGTGGCCAGCAGTGGCCTGAGCAGGTCAGAGATGATGAGGACACAGGACAGGGCACGGTTTGGATCCATCATTCACGAGGTTGCAATGAGATACAGATGACTTGATGGCATTTAACAGCAACAAGGCGGAGAGGGCAGGGAACTGTGAGGGGCAGGTTGAGCGGGCGGTTCTGGAGAGTGGCTGGCTCTAGTGCTGTGAGCCGGAGAGAGCAGCTCGGAGACCACTGAAACCGGGATGAGATGAGGGACCACAGAGAGGGGAAGTGGGGGTGTTCAGTGGGGACGGAAATCCTCGGGTCGAAGGAGGATAGTCTAGGAGGGGAGATGAGAAAGAAGGCTTCCGCAGCAGGAGGACACTCCAGAGTAACCCGGGGTTCCTCAGGGGAAGAGGAGATGTGATTATCTGCTTTCAGGACGCGTGATCCAGCGTGGGGGCACCAGGGAAGAATGGAAACTGAGTCAAGACTGCTGGTTAGCTCACGTGTATTGTTTGAAAGAGCCAGTTACAAAGACGAGCAAAGACAGCAGGTGGAGGGAAAGGCTGTGAGGGAGAGAAAAGGATAGTGCAGACTGAAGACCCAGGATGTGAGGGTCCAGGTGGAGGGTGGGTGGGATGGACCTGGAGGGAGAGAAAGGGCCGAGGCTGACTGCTGGGGAGAAGAGCCGAGAGCCTTTACGAGCTGAAGGGACACAGTGCACAGAAGTGACGACTCATGGAGCAAAACAGATCTGTAAGAGGTGAGACTGGCTGTGGAAAGAGAGGACACTTCTTCTGGGAAAGAGAGGAGAACTAGCAGCAGGACTGAGACTTTGGTAGTGTGAAGGGCGCCACGGCTCATGTCAGATGCAAGGACCGTCTGTGCAGGCGGGCACCCCGGAGCCGGGCTCTAATCTTCATCCGCACCAAGTGGTGTTGTTCAGGCCCAGCCACCTCACAGTCACTCAGAGGGGAGGGCCCCGCAGGGCCACTCCATCCCCATCCCTAGAGCCCTCGAGGGCACCCAGTACCTTGATACGCCCTCTCCCGTTTCTTCTTTTCGGTGTCAATGTACTGCTCGGAGGCCGCTTTAATCTTCTGGACCCAGGCCGTCCTGTGGGAGAAGAGAGCAAGCCGTTTGGGTCCACCCACAGACCCCGCCTGGGGTCCACCACGTGCCCCAGAATTCTGCATGAGGGTTGTTCCCTTTGCTAACCTCAGCTTCAATGATCAAACTTTGATTAACTTGACTGGAAGTTATTAGCTAACTGATGGTTGAGCTGAGGATGCCTGAAGGGGACTCTTGTCAGCCAGGAGGGGCTGTGGCCACAGAGACTAGAGGATGTGGACAGCCTCCCTGGGAGGGCTCAGCATGAGCGATGGCAGCCCTCAGAGGCCTGCACGCAGGCGTGTGGGCCGAGGTTCTGTCCTGAGGAGGAGACGTCTCATGCGAGTCCCCTTGGGAACACAGGTGTTGTGGGTGGAGGGGCAGGACGGATGCTGAAATGGTGAGGGGTAGCCCTTAGAAACCAGGGAAAGAGTGGCATTTTCTCCCAAGGGCTGCAGGCAGTCCCTGGGTTTCAGCAGAGGAGTGAGGCAGCCAGACAGGCTGTTTAGGAAGATGGTGAGGGAATGGCCCGAGGAGGGACTGAAGTGAGAAAATGAAGGGAGTGGTGGTCCTGGGCATCTAAGCGAGGGCCTTTCTGTAGGAATGGAGCAGAGGGGGCTTGCTGAGAAAGGTGGAGGGCACAGAATTGACAGGATGTGCAGACAGATTGGAGAGAAGTTTCATAGCAGAGGGAGACGTCCAGGAGTTCTCCCAGATTTCAAGGCAGGTCACACGTGGTCAGGACTGACCTCTCGTTAATGTTGTCTGTTCGGAGGGTGTAGACCCGATCGATGTGAGAAATGTGGAAGACGGGCTCATCGCTGGAAGGGTCTGTGGGCAGTTTCACCAAGACTTCGTTCAGGAAAATGGGCTAAAAGAATAAGGGTCGAAACACAGGCTGTGAGTCGGGCCAAATTCTACCCCAACCGCGCACAGAGCTGGAGTTCTGTTTGTTCTGGAAAGCCTGGCTGAGGGAGAAAGGGGCCGAGCTGAGATCTTTGACACAGGAGAAAAGAAAACAACCTCCATTTTGCAAAGGTCAATAGGCAGATGGAATGGGCTAGCAGCCCCGAACGCCCACACTCTGGATGTGGCAGGGTCTCCTCCACACAGGGGCCCTTGGCACTTAGTTACAGCCTGGTTTTCCAGACCCTGATAAGCAGTGTGGGTGGAGACAGAGCTCAGAATCTCTGAGACAGAACCTCAGCTTTTCATTGTGGGACATCAGACAGGCCCTTTGGACATGCAAGCACACAGCTCAGGGACAGGGCAGGAGTCCAAAGCTGGACCATCAGGGGCCATGGAAACCAGGAGTCGTGCATAGAGGAACTGAAGCTCCTGTGGGGGGTGGGCAGTGTGGCTCATCGGGGAAGAGCTGAGGGGAGTCCCTCAGGGACAGGACAGACTCAGGTACACAGAGGTCATGAGGGCAAAGGCAGAATCTTATGACGCCCCCAGCAGCCTGGTGGGAAGGTGAAACTCACCGTCTTATACATTTTGAACTGAGCGTTGGACTTAGAGCTGAACAGTTTCTCGGAGCCCGAGGACACGGCAAACTGTTTGACCATGTAGGTAAGAAGCAGGAAGTCGTTGAAGAGGAATCCGTGCAGCTCCTTATTGCTCTTGGTCTTGTACAACTTCCCGCTGTGCAGAAGTTTCCGCGGTCCCAGGCAGTTGGTGAGGGAGTTGAAAATAAGTTGCTGAAAGAGAAAGAGGCTTGTTAACTTTGTAAAGCCTTCGAAACCAGAAGCCCCAGCACAATCCTGCCAGCCTCCTGTGTTCTGAATCTGAGGGAACCTTGGTAGGAATTTTCAGTTGAAAATGTGGCTGTAACTCTATTCCTGGAATCATTTAAGATTTCAAACTGGACCAGTGCAAATGGTTATCTACACCTACAGAATATAGATTCCACTATCTAAAGTCAAATCACTCAAAATAAAAGTAGCAAATCTCTCTTCACAAGAAAGGAAGATGACATCTCAAGGAGTGTCCTTGTCAGGGCAGGCTGGCAGGTCCACACAGCTGAGCTATGTGAGGAGAGCCTGGCCCAGCTCCCACCCAGAGCCTGCCCACACTCCACACCCCAAACCCCATGCCAGGGCCTCACCTCGGCCAGACCTTCACACTGAACGTGCGCCTGGATCCACTCCAGCCGGTCTGAATTTTCTTTCTCCCGAACACCCTCATTCACTTGGGAGCACAGCTCCTCAGCCCGCTCCAGGGCCAGCTTCAGGGAGGAGTGGTCAACGTGACTCTCTGGGGTACTCTCCAGAATCTGGACAAGAGAGGAGTTGCATCACCTGGGGTGTACTGTTTCTTTCACCCAACAAACCACCCAACCATCTGTCTACCCAAAATCCAAGTGTTGAGGATGTGCTAAAGGGGCCCTGGTGTTAAATTGTTAACGGAAAGGTCAGTGGTGTGAACCCACCAGTTACTGACAGGGAATAAACATCTGGTGATCTGCTTGTGTAAAGATTAGTGCTCTTGAAACCCTACAGGGCAGCTCTACTCTGTCACACTACAGGCAGGACTGACTCAGTGGCACACCCTCACCACTGGCGGTGTTACACAACATAGTGTTTGAATGATATTCTAAACTGTGGAAGACATTTGTCCAAAAGGTCTGAGATGAGGGATTGTGCCCTCAAACCGACAAGGAGGTTTGGTATGAACCACAATATGTGTTCTATTCTGAGTCCATGTAGTTATTAGACTGCTGGTTAGAGAATAATCAATAAAAGCAACAGTTTAATTTCTTTTTACACCTTTCTCTGATGATGACAGAATAAACAATAAAGGCAATAGTCTTATGTTATTCCTACTGTTTTCTTTGTAAGATGATTAAAATAATTTCTGTTTTAATGGTGGAATTATCCTTTGCATCAGCAGTCAGGAAATCAGAAGACAAATTGCACTGGGTAAATCTGCTTTCAGGGACCTCTCCAAAGTGCTGAAGAGCAATAATGAAGGGAGCTCTGGTGGCCTAGAGGCAAGAAGCTGTGCTGCAATCCTGAAGGCGCTTGGTTTGAATCCACCAGATACTCTTCCTGTGCCGGTCAGATCCAATTTGACAGCACACAACAAGTTAAAAAAAAAAAGCAGCAATGATGTCAGTCTGGAGACTAAGGTGCACTTGATACAGGACATTGTGTTCGCAATTACTTGCTATGTATCAGAGAGCTGGACAATGAGGATGACAGAAGAAAAATTGATGCCTTTGAGTTGTGGTGCTGGAGAATAGTATTAATCATACCATGGATGGCCAAGAGAACAAAGAGGTGTGTCCTAGAGAGGGTGAAACCAGGTTGTTCTTTAGAGGCAAGGATTTTGAAGCTCCCTTTCACATACTTAGGACATGCTGCAAGGAGGGACCAGTCCTTGGAGAAGGACATCATTCTTGGAAGAGTAGAGGGAGCACAGGAGAGGAAGACCCCAGATGAGATGGATTGACACTGTAACTGGGGTAAAGGTTTAGGTGTGTTGGAGATAGTGAGACTGGCTCAGGATAGCGCAGGGTTCAGAGATATTGTGCACAGGGTCACTAGGAGTCATAAGCGACTTGACTGCACATAAGAACAACAACAAGGCTGACCTCCTTAGAACACTTGATTGTATTAAGAGACTCATTTATATAAAAAAGGAAGATTCGTGGCATTTTAGGAGGCATTTATCCAGCACACTGGAGGGACGCATGTGGAGGGTCAAGGACAAGCTCTGTTGAGGACATGCTGAGATGGGGACCTAGGTAGGGTGGAACCCAAGGGTAGGCTAATGCTTTATCTGCCCCACTTCTGGGCTCAGGATGGCTCCCCAGCTGGAGGCTTCACCCTGCCTCGACAGGCAAAGAGCCCTGTGAGCCCAGAAGAGGTTTCTGGACGACAGGTTACCGAGGTGACATGGGATTCCTGTCATCTGTCCACTGCAAGGATTGAACTCTACAGAGCACACCCCATCCCATGTATATGGTGGCAGTGGGCTCACAGCTGCCGTCACACCACGGGGCAGGGCAGGCTGGTCACTCCGGGGCTCCCTATCTGGCCGCTCTGAGTGTCCAGCCACCTCCTTGATGCCTGGCGTCTGTGATCGCCGAAAAGCCTTCTTTCCAAGGCTGCGTGAGCCATCCCATCGCGGACACTCACACTTTTGATGAGGAGAGGGTAGCGGGTGATCCTCTGCATGGGCTTCAGCAGGAAGCTGGACAGGGGCATCCCTTTACACCGAGGGTCAGAGGCCAGCTTCTGCAAAGAAAGTGAGAGACTTATGAAGAAATTATATCCCCAAATTAAACAAAAAAATCAGACCCACACTCCTGACTTTGACCACTTTTTAGATTTTTTTGTTTTTTTATCAACTCAGGATCCAAAATGACAGGTGTCACACTGACAGAGGACCATTCCACCTCCGTGCCAGACCCAGAAGCCATCCCTCAGCTCCATCTTGCGGCTTTCCCTGACCATGCAGGGACCACACACCCTCCTTGGCTCCTATGCACCACTCTCTCCTGCACCTTCCCGGCTTCACCACATCCTTTGCCTCTGTCCGCTCTTCTCATTTCTCCTTTAAATGTTATTTATCTTGCTCTTGTAGATAATATACACAGCAGGACAGACGCCAGTTCAACCGTTTCTACATGCACTCTTCAGTGACACTGGTGACATTCTCTGTGCGGTGCAACCATTCTTACCCTCCATCTCTGAACTGCTGCTCCCTCATGAACACAAACTCCTTGTCCCCAAAGTTTCCTTTCTAGTCTTTGAAGTGGCTTTAGTCAACTTGGTCCCATCCAGACAGTGTAATACTCAAGGGCAGACCTTAACACTGTGTCATTGTTGTCGTGTCAACCACACCTCACAGTGACCCTATGAGGGCTGTCCCATCCCGTGCCATCCTCAGCAATTCTGATATACTTGAGCCCTCTGTTACAGCCACTGTGTCAATCGTTTGGGTTGAAGAAGTCTTCAGGGGATATTTTTGGTTTAAAGATTAAAGATTATCTCAGGGAAAATAGTTTGATTTCTCTATTTCCCGAATCATTAAGTGATCTTTAAGGAAATGACTTACTGTTTAGTTTTACCTACTAATTTAACCAATAGCCTTTTGCTATGAAAAGAAATTATTTTTTTCTTTTTTTAAAAATATGGAATGCTTCACGAATTTGCGTGTCATCCTTGCACAGGGGCCATGCTAATCTTCTCTGTATTGTTCCAATTTTAGTATATGTGCTGCCGAAGCGAGCACGAAAATAAATTATTTTTATTATCATGCCAATTGTGATGACATCTGACATCCTATTTGCTTTGTTACTGGATTGTTATTGACAGTTCCATGAAGTTGTAAACGTCTATTTCTAATTCTCTTATCATTGACATCATTTATGCCTTTATCGCTTCTTCTGCTCCCCTTTGGGGATTTTTGTCCTCTAGCCAAACAGCTTGAAGGAGAAGTGGCATCCACTTCCATAATAGCTTGCCTCCGGAAACCCTATGAACTTGGAGAGAGGATGAAAGGCACCCAAGCATTGAGGACTCTCCTTCATAGGGTCGCTATGAGTCGCCTGTGACTTGACGGCACTTAACAACAACAACAACAACAACAACAGCCAAACAGCTTATGTTTGTGCTTAATGACTCCTTAAAATTTAAATATTGAAAGGATGCCGCCTTGTTCAGGTGCCTGAATTTGGGGTAAACACTACTACAAAGTCTACTTATAGAATATCTGCCCACTGTGGTTTCTCAGTAGGTCTTGATATATAGTATTTTCATGAGTACAAATGAGAAGTAGAAAGAAAGACAATCCCTTTTCCTTTTATTCTCATTGCAATTTTAATATATGATATGAAAGTATCTATTAGCAAACAACATCAAAGAAACTGTTTTCTCGAAAGGTGACATCCTATTAGCTCTCACTATTCTATTACTACACCCCAAACTCAATCTGACTCAGGGTGACACTCCCCGCCTCTCCAGCCAAAAACTCAGTAGGGTTTCCAGGACTGAGAATCTTGATAGGAGGAGACTGCCCATCTTTTGGCTGGTAGGTTTGAACTACTGACCTTTTTGGTTAATTGTACCACATGTAAAACTCCATGCCAAGAGGGCGCCTTTATTACTACAATGTTGTATGCTATTTGTTACACTCTCTATGGTGTTTTCTTTCTGAGTACAGTTACAGCTTTACTTTTCCTCATCAACTGTTTGCTCGTATTTTATAAACACGGCATTATGGAGTCAGCAGTTTGTCCTCTCGTTGGCTTCTGTAAAGTCTGATGGCCTTTGTGGCATCGCATACAGGGCACTGTGCTGCTGACCCAAAGGCTGACCTTCTCTGGTGGTCTCAATCAGCCAGCCGCCCCAAGGGAGAAAGACCCCAATCTCCTTCTATACGACGTACCACCTTGGGAACCCCGCGGTGGTCAGTGATGCGTCAGCGCCAACTCAACGGAGTGAAAGCGTGGCTAGCGTGAGCGTGAGACCACGAGACATGCATTTCATCCTTCTGCCTCATTTCACTCATCGCAAATTTTATTTTTTATTTGATCTTGTTGCATGCTATCCAGCATAGCTCCAAAGAAAAATTTAAATTTCAGAAATTATATTTTTTTCCATTCTTTACAGAAATGGTGGGCAGAAATCAGTATGTTTTGAAAATTAAGAAAATGACCTCCTGGATATTTCCTTGAGAGTATAAAACAGCTGAGTTAAGTCTGGCTTTTTTTTAAAAAAACCTTCCTTTAGCATTTGATGCATAAAATCATTGGCTTCAGGCCAAGAGAAATCAGAGAAACATGAAAGACAACGTAAAGAAATCGGAAAATTATTTTTCTATTTGTGTCGCACTCATGGGATAGCCTCCTTCATCGCTGGAATTGCCGACTGCGCCAGCTTAACCCCTGCCCTCACACCCAGAAGGGGGCCGCATGTCTGTCAGGCCCACGGATCTATCTGTGAGGTCCGAAGAGAGTTACCTTCAGGAATTCTTTGAAGTCCGTGTCTTCGTCTGTCTTCTGCTGTAACAGGGCGGCCCCGTTCAGCTGGCAGCTGCAGAAGCGGATGTAAGCCTGCATGTGGGCGAGCTCGGCCGCCAGGATGTCCCCGATCATCTGCACTGGCATCTTCTCGCCTCCCGTCTTCTTCCGAACTCGCAAGGCCCTGCAACCGACATGGGTGTTCACTTTCCAAGTGAATGAAGTCTGGATTACCATGGCAGCAGAGACAGGTAGTGAGCTCCAGAAAAAGTCCAGTGTCGGGAGGTGAGGGTCAGAGGCGAGAGTGGGAGGCTGGGCCTAAAGCTTTGCTGCTCAAGCCAACATGCGTCAAAAATTGGCAAAGAAGAATAAGGACATGCACGCCATAGAGTTGTGTGGTGTTTTTGGCCTTTGGAATGGTTTTGGTTTTATGTCAGTGTCTCAGCAAAATTTCTTTTGAAAGAGAACTTGCTCTCAGTCCAACCCAGGGAGAAAAAGGCAGAGGGGCTGGCCAAGGCCATGTGCGTGAGGGAGGCCAGCGTGCTGTTCCTGGGAGAGGTGCTGGGCCCCTGCAGGGTAGAAGTGTGGCTGGCCTGAGCTGTGACAGCAGAGGCCTCCCCGGCTCCCCCAGTCTGTCCTCAGGGGCCTGAGGGACTGAAACTCACCCCAGGAAAGGAATTTCCACGGGAACTTACAGGATGGCCAAAGAAGCCTTGAGCTATAGCTTCTCTTCTGGTTCAACCCAGATTCAAGAATGTTTTATGGTTTAAAATGGTAAGTTAATACATTATTTCCTTAATAATTCCATTTTTACTTTGTTCAATCAAAGTACCTTTTCATATTTATTTTCTCCAACAATTATGTATTTTATAGTTCTAAGAAATTTCAGAAGATGAAAATAAGATAAAAAGCCCAAAGGACAACAACTGAATGGACGGAGTAATTGTGGTTCATCCACACAACGGAACACTATGCAGCACTAAGGAACAACGATTTCATAAAATGCTATATAACGGGGGAGAATCTAGAGAGCATAGTGTGGAGTGAATGAACTCAGTCTCTTAAGGACAAATACTATGTAAGATCATCACTGTAAAAACAGATGGATATGAGGATGGCAGGGGGGAAATCATAGGGCCACACAATCTGATAGGTAGAGGGAGGGGTGGGTAAAGGAAATGGGAACGATCTGGTGTGAAAAACAATGTATATGAAGTTTGTAAGCAAATCAGTATAAAATAAAAAATTTATTTTAAAAAATAGTTGGATAACTAGTAGATAAATGTCCAGAAGGGGAAAGGGAGACTGGGTATAAAGGAGGCGAGATGAACTTACTAGGAAAGCAGAGTTTGGTGGGCAGATAGGGGAGGAGAAGGAATAGCAAAGGTTCAAGGAAGACTCGAGAAGATGGGGTGATAATAGGCATAGGTCAATGGTAATTAAAACATGGAATAAAATGTATATGGATGACTGTATGAAACCCAATGTAAGTGAAAGATTGTATAAAGCACAGTGTACATGAATGAATATAATGTATACAAATTATTATATGTTAAAAAAGAAAAAAAGCCCAGGGGAGCAGGATATATGGGGAAATCCCCTTGCTAAACTCCCCTGCAGAGAGCTGGTGTGAGTCTCGGCCCTGGGCTGAGGTGCCTGGTGTAAGCACAGGGGCCGCTCAAGACTCACTTCAGCAACTTCGTATTGGACATGATGAGCTCTTTCCAGTTAACGAAGATCAGGCCCATTTCTCCTTCAGTAAGAAAACCTGAGTCTGCCATTGGTTTCTGAAAGACCTAAGTTCAAAACACAAACAAAAGTAGTTAGCTTAAGTGTGAACACCAAGAACACTGAGTCTGTGCTTGGGCTGTTACCTAAGATTTCTTTACATGGAATTTCCAAAGCTCTGGTGGCCTAGTGGATAAGGAGCTGTGCTGTCAACCCAAAGCCAAACAGTTCAAATCCATCTGTTGTTCTAGGAGAGAAAGATGGGAAATCTCCTCCTGTGCATTTACAGCATTTGAAAAACTGCTGGAGGGTCAGCTATGAGTCAGTTACAACATGATGGCAATAGGAATCACACACACACAGCCTAGAAAGAGTAAGGTCTTTGTAAAGAAATATATTGATGATTCCATTATTTTAACTGCACTATTGCTTACTTTTTTTGGCATTGGGGCTCTGATCAAGGCTGATTTGAGAAATGAACCCAGTATTCTCTGTTAAGTGGAGGCTCACATGCCTGCTTCACAGGGGTGCCAAGACACAGAGAACCACAGAGTACCCACACATGCAGGGTGTGCACAGTCGAGGCTGGGATGCAGGAGAATGTCCTCGAGGAGTTCATCAGGGAACACGAAGTGATGACTTCTGCTATTCCCCAAACCCACCAGTACACAGAGGCGGCCTTCAGAGGGCTGCCTGGTCAAAGGGGAAATGGTGACAACTCACATCTGTACCCCAGACCCATGGCTGTGCAGTAATTCCAACTCCTGGATTCCACACGGGATGGAGTAGGATTGTCTCACAGGGTTTTCACAGCTATAACCGCCGCCCTCCCCCGCCCCAATTTATAACTGTTACAGAAGGAGACTGCCACATCCTTGTGCAGAGCAGCTGGTGGTCTCAAACTGCCAATCTTTTGTCCAGCGGCGGAGCACTTCACTGCTGCGCCACCAGGCTCCTTTTGGAGTCTCTCCTTCTCGCTAATGCCACTGAGTCAGTTCCAACTCAAGCTGACCCTCCGCTGGGTTTCCAAGACTGTGGATCTCACAGGAGAAGCCTGCCCTTCTTTCTCCCATGGGAGGGCTGATGGATTCAAACTGCCAACCTTTCAGTCAGCAGTCAAGCACCTAACCACTACACCACCAGGGTTCCCTCTGTATCCCCTTGTTGTTAGTGCTATCGAGTTGAGTACGTGTACAAACGATGGATGGGAACTCTGCCCTATCCTGCGCCACAGGACCCAAGAATTTATAAAGCGCTGACTTGTACACTTGTGTGTACATGCACATATGAGTGAATATATGTGTGTTGTGTGTTCTCAATTAATTTCAGAGTCTTGGTAGGTGAAGCGAAGGCAAATATACCCCCAACTGATCAACTAAAAAAGTGGGGGGGAGGGAGGCTCAGAGAGTGAATTGCCTAAGGTCAAAAAGACACAGGAGAGATTCCTGAAGACACAGGAGCCAGATCCCAAACTCAGATCTTTATTCTAAGTCCAAGTTTTCACTAAAACACAAATAGTCTTAAGAAATGACATACAAACTTTAAGGAAGTAGGGAAGTTACCAGAGAGAGCTCCTCTCATACATGAGCTTTCTCGTTGTTCTTGTGCACCACTGAGTCAGGATTGACCCACAGCTGACCCTTTGGTGGGTTTACAGGGGCCGTGCACCGCACAGGAGATCATCCTTCCTTCTGCAGAGCAGCTGGTGGATTTGAACCACGTGCCTTCACGACTGCAGCACAGCTCCTTGCCACTAGGGCTACCAGCGCTCCCGAGCTTTCTCATACACACCCCTATGTCCTTCTCTTTACAAAACTCACTCAAAGGCCTCTCAAGGGTGGGTAAGAAAACGCAAACTCCTTTCAGAGGTTCATGAGGCTCAGGCCCTAGCTCAAATACTTGACACTCCTGTCACATGACAGCCTCTGCAGGTCCCTAACTCTCTCTACACAAGCCTTTGCATCCCTATTTCCTCCTCCTAGTCAGGGAGCCCTGGTGGCACAGTCTCACCCAAAGGCAGCGCTTCACTGCATTTCAATCCAGTGGCTCTGAGGGAGGAATTTGGACAGTCCTCTCCTGTGCAATTACAGCTTCTGAAAACTCCATGGAGGGTCAGCTCTGAGTCTATCTGCCAAGTGTTGTACTGTCGAGCTGGAGCCAACCCATGGCTGACCCTCTGGCGGGTTTTCAGAGGCAGTTAATGACACAGGAGGAGACTGCCCATCCTTTCCCCTCGGAGCAGCTGGTGGGATTCGAATCATGTACCTTTGAGACTGTAGTGCCGCTTCTTGCCACTAGGCCACCAGCGCTCACTAGGACAACTTGAGAAGACTTAAAAAAGGAGCTCTGGTGGCCTAGGGGCAAGAAGTTGTGCTGCAATACCTAAGGTGAGCAGTTCGAACCAACAGATGCTCCACTGGAGGAGGTGCAATCTCCTCCTGTGCCAGTCAGACCTGATTCGATGGGGTACACACAGACACACAGACACACACACACACACGTACACACACATGAAAAAAGGACATAGTCTCTGCCCAACCAGAGACATGTACATAAACACATGTAATCTATTTGGCTTTGAGGCAGCTGTGGTGGCTTTTTGTTGTTATTGTTAGGTGCTGTTGAGTCAACCACAACTCAGAGCGACCCTATGAACACGTATCTGAACCCTGTCTAGTGCCATCCTCACAATCTCTGACACACTTGAGACCACTGCTGCAGTCACTGAGTCATCCACCTGGTTGAAGTTTTCCTTTCATTTGCGGTCCCACCACCTTCCCAAGCATGATATTCACTCCAAGGAATACCCTCCCCTAGCAACATCCCCTCGTGGTTTAGTGGTAAGCAACTGTGCTGCTAACCCAAAGGCACGTGGTTCAAACCCACTAGCTGCTCTGTGGGAAAAAGATGGGAAATCTCCTGTGCGATTTATTGCCTCTGAAAACACACCAGAGAGTCAGCTATAAGTTGCTTCTGACTTGACGGTACTCAACAACAACCATAATAACAGTCCATTCAGCATTGATGGGAAAGTCTATAGAGTCGGGCTAATGGGCTTATAACTTTGGAGAGAAGACAGACACCATCAGCTGAGGATGGCAGGGTACTGTCCAGGTGAGGGACACTGACCTGGACCTCACAGGCCTGCGTTTAGAGTGAAGGATGAAGCAGGTCAGGCCTGGCTACAGGACCGATGCCGCAGGATGCAGCCACGCTCCATCCTGCCAGCGAGGTCACATGTATGATGCACCTGTGGAACACATGTGGGGACACCTGCTTCTCTTCACATGATTTACTTATCTAACTGCTCTTCTCATTTGAGGGCTTTGGCAAATTTAATGGGAACAAAAAGCCCCAGAAACAAAAGTATACAAAACATTCTTCTTCTGTTCAGGCAAAAACACACATCATCATTTTAAAAGGCTATTCCATCTTGGAAGAAGGCCGGCCAAAGGGCTCCCTGGAGGCAAGGACAACAGTGAGACTTCACCTCACACACTCTGCACATGTTGTCAGGTGGGGCCGGGACTTGGAGAAGGGCATCATGTTTGAAAAAGCAGAGGGTCGTCGAAACAGAGGATACCCTCTACAAGATGGGCTGACGCGGTGACTGTAACGATGGGCTCAGGGTGGCCGAGACTGTGAACACGGCAAAGGATCAGGCAGGGCTGCTTGGAAGGTCGCTCGGCATGGATGGCATCTGACAACAACAACGGCTTTCACAAGGGCAGCTGCCATGGGCACAGAGGTCGCCACTAACAATGGCAGGCACACATGATCGGACAGCGAGTCACGACATTTGAGAAATACTTTACAATATGCCCCTATGTGGTTCTTCAAACAGATACAACATCAGGCAGATGCATCCACTGCTTCACAACTTCTGTGGTAAGATCACAGCTTATGAAAACTCCAGCTGTCTAAAGGGCTGAAGCACACAGTCAAATCTGAGGGAGCTCAAGCTTGCTTTAGGGATCTCTGGTGGCCTAATGGTGAGACTCTGCACTGCAATCTCAAAGGCATGTGGTTCGAATCCACCAGCTGCTACACAGAAAGATGGACAATCTCTTTGTGTGTGATTAACCGCCTCTGAAGACCCACCGGAGGGTCAGCTATGTGTCGGTCCTGACTCAAAGGCACACAAGAAGAACAAGAACAACAACAACAAAGCTTCCTTTAGGGTCCTCACATTCAACCTATCCCCTTGTCCTTCCTTTACGGGCCTTTTACTAGGTCAACTTAAGGATCCTGGTGGCACAGTGGTCAGAGCACTCAGCTTAACTAAAGATTCACAGCCTTAGAAAGTGTGTAGGGCAGTTCTCTGCCCTGCAGCATTGTTAGGTGCTGGTAGTGAGAACCATGGATGCCCTCTTTTCCCTCGGCCACTCTGAACAACCTAATCTGAGGGAAACAGTGGATATCCTATTATTGTTGTGTGCCATCAAGTTCTTCCCAACTCACTGTGACCCTACAGGGCAGACAGAGCAGAACTGCTTCATAGGGGTCCCCAGGGCTGTTATTGTTATGGAAGTAGATTTGAGAATGGCTTGTTGGTGTTAGGTACCATGGAGTCAGAACTGACCCTCCAGTGTGTTTTCAGAGGCAGTAAATTGACCATCTTTCTCCCATAGAGCAACTGGTGGATTTGAACCCTGTGCCTTTGGGTTAGCAGCACAACTTCTTATCACTAAGCCACCAGATCCCCAGTGTGGCTAGTGTTGTGGTGTACTGTGGAGTCGGAACCAACCCATCGCTGACTCTCTGGTGGCTTTTCACAGGCAGTCAACTGCATGGAAAGAGACTGCCCATCTTTTTCCTGCACAGTAGTTGGTGGATTTGAACCATATACCATCAGGATTGCTACATAGCTTCTTGCCACTAGGCCATTAGTGCTCCCTAGAGGAAGTGGCTAGTAGGTCTGACAGCAGCCAATCACTTAGTGACTTGCTACAAGGTCTCCAATATCTTGATTGCTGTTGTCAGGTGGTGCGGAGTCCACCAGGACTCAGAGCAACCTTATGAACAACAGCTCTGAACCCTGCCCTGTCCTGAGCCGTCCTCATAATCTTTGATACGCTCAAACTCATTAGAGATTAGTTTTTTCAAGAATTATCTAATGGACAGAGAAACCAGAGGATGTAATATATTTCTCCCTCACTATTTATGGTATGCAATCCTTCATTATTTTTGGTGTGCAGTTTGAATCCACTAGTTGCTCTTTGGGAGAAAGAAGAGCAATTTTCTCCTGTACAATTTACTGCTTCCAAAAACCAGCTGGGAGGGTGAGCTATAAGCTGGTTCCAACTAAATGGTACAAAACAACATTTATGCTTTGGTGGCCCCTTGGGTAAGGAGCTGCACTGCCAACCCAAAGGTTGTTGTTGTATGTGCTGTCGAGTTGCCTGTGACTCATAGCGACCCTATGTACAACAGCCCTAAACTCTGCTCTGTCCTGTGCCAATCGCATGGTCTCTGACACACCCATCCCGATTATCCAAGTCACTGAATCAATCCACATAATAGAGGGCCTTCCCCTCCTGTGCTGTCCCTCCACCCTTCCAAGCATGATGTCCCTCTCCAAGGACCGGTCCCTCCTGGCAACATGTCCAGATTATGTCAGACGAAGCCCCAGAATCCTTGCCTCCAAGGAGCAGCCTGGTTTAACCCTCTCGAGGATGAATCTGTTTGTTTTCCTAGCAGTCCATGGTACCCTCAAGCTGCTCTGAGGAAGGAAGATGGGCAATCTCCGATGCGATTTACAGCCTCTGAGAACTTGTTGGAGAGCCAGCTATGAGTTGGTTCTGAGTTGATGGCAATGAGTTTTGGTGGGGTTCCCCCCCCCCAAGCTATGACTACAGGGAGCTCTGGTTCACTGGAGGATGGGCTACTAACCAAAGGCAATGCATCTTTGGCAGTTCAAATCCATCAGTGGCTCTGTAGGAGAAAGATGGGCGTTCTCTTCCTGTGCTTATTTACAGCCTCTGAAAATCCACTGGAAGGTCAGCTCTGTGAGTTAATTCTGACAGCAATGAAGACTTTTATGTTTTAACTGATGAATAAATACACTGAATGAGAGTTTCCTTTACTTTTGGGGGGGTGCAGTTGGTGGCTGGATGCCCCTTCTCCTGTGGAGCGGGCGGTGCTCCCAGCACTGGGGGCTTGCCCTCACCCTGGCTGGACGCCCCTTCTCCTGTGGAGTCGGCAGTGCTCCCAGCACTGGGGGCTTGCCCTCACCCTGGCTGGACGCCCCTTCTCCTGTGGAGCTGGCGGTGCTCCCAGCACTGGGGGCTTGCCCTCACCTCCAGGACGAGCTGCAGGTCGTCCATGTATCGCTCCTCGGTCTGGATCAGCTCGTGAATGTAGCCCTGCCTCTTCCTCTCAATTGGCTGCATTGTGTCCAGGGTTTGGAGATCTGCACACCCTATAGGGAAAGACAGGGGAGAGGGTTAAAATGCATTTCATCCCTTCCTGTAGAACACAGATATTCACCAGCAGAAGTGCTGGGTTGGTAAACGTTGCCTTTAACAAGGCGCACAGCTTTTAAAAGTGCTTTAACCACTGTGAGCAGCAGTCCACGCGTGCAGGGAGCTGACTTAGTGGTCTGCCACCCAGAGCTCTGCAGCACTGTGTGTGACGTTTTGACATGTTCCTGATTTTTAATTCTTTTGAGCAGTAATGAAAGAACCAGGTGTTTTGAAGACATGGCCTCAAAATGGTCAGAAAGGTGGTCTATACAGAGAGGACTCAAGAATGAGAATTGTAGGCCCATAGTCAACTGAGTCATGAAAAAAAAATCTGTGCTATTCTCACCATCTCCAGACACTTTCCAAATTACTGAATGATTAAATGAATAAAATACTTCAGAGCAATGTTTTATCAACTGTTAAGTCACAAGCCATTCAATTCATTGCCATCCAATCAGAACTGACTCGTAGCTGGCCCTCCAGTGGGTTTTCTGAGGCTGTAAATTGCACAGGAGGAGACTGTCCACCTTTCTCCTCAGAGCCACTGGTGGATTTGAACCATTAGAGAGACGCTGTCTCGGGATTAGCAGTGTAACTCCCTATGGACGACCATAGCTCCTCCATGCGCCACTGTTGTTATTACCGTCTTGGAAGTGACTCACAGCTGACCCTCCAGTGGTGTTCAGAGGCTGTAAATCACATGGGAGGAGAGTGGCCCTCTTTCTGCAGTGGAGCAGTTGGTGGATTGAACCACATACCTGTGGGTTGGCAGTGCAACTCTACCTACGCCACCAGGGCTCCTTCCATAGGCCATTAGTGGGCCCTTAAAATAAATGTAAATGTTTAAAATGCCCATCAGCCCCAACGTTACAAAAATCTAAACAAAACAAATAGTTAAATTGAAGCTAGCAGTTGTGCAACATTGGTGAATATAGTCTGTGTTGAACGAAGAACAGATTGTTGATGAACTGCAGGGATACTCAAAGCCACACACCCACTCCTGGCCAGCTGAGGTACAGCCCAGCAGAAGTGACATAAATCCACAACCATTTCAAGAAGAAGCAGAGTGATACGGCGAGACCTCAGAAGGAAGAGGCAGCAAGTATCAGCAAAGCATGCTGTGTACTGGCTGCATCAAGAGATGAGATGAACAAAGCACAGAAGGTACCTTTCAGCAGAGGCTGTCAGGAGTGGCTCAGGGAGAAGGGGCACCGAAGCAGTACTCTGGAGGAGGAGCAATGCTCTAGACGCAAGTTTCATTGTTGGTTGGTGGGGCAAGGGAGCAAGGCCATGCAGGAGAAAATGCAAGGTTCAGACGGAATGAAGGGGAGGAAATTTTCAGTCCTCACCGGCACCACGATTTCCTTACAATATGTGGATAATAGATGAAAGAATTTTTCTTTTACTTTTCAAAGAGAAGAGTGAACTTGGGGGGAAGAATGGGCAGGGAGAAAAAAATGCAACAATGAATGAATGGAAATCCAAAGTCTCTGTGAACCTTCATTTTAATTAATAATAATAATAATAATAAAACAATATGTGGCACAGATCTTGGTTCACAGGCTCTTCTTGCGAAGACGCTTTCTTCACTTTCTCTGTATGTTGCCAAGACCATTGACAAACTACCTCCAACAGGGAAAATGAAACTGAATGAGGCAGCTGATATGTGGTACTAGTGGACTCACCAGCACACAAGCACCACCACCATCACTAACCACCACCAGAAGGTCAGAATGTCAGTCATGCTCACCACCCCCAAGCTTGGCTGGGGACTGCATTTTATTTGATGGTGGAAGAGAGAAGCGCAGAGAACGTTCAGATCTTTTGAATCAGTCAAGCTAACTCAGACGCCTGATTGCGTAGGCTGCAGGACAGCAAGGAGAGATGTAAGGAGCCCTGTAACTCCCAGTAACCTTATGAACAATGGATCTGAACCCTGTCCTATCCTCTGCCTTCATAATTTCTGACATACTTGAGTCCATTGCCACGGTTACTGTAAAACCATCTTTTAATTTCCCTCCCCCCTCCCCCATGTTTTCAAGCATGATGTCCTCTTCCAAGGATAACCTCTCCTAATAACTAGATGTGAGACGTTTTGTCATCTTTGCCTCCAAGAAACATCCAGGCTGTACTTTGTCCATGACATTATCTGCTTGTTCTTTCGGCAGTCCACAGGACATTAAGTATGCTTCTCCAACACCAGAGCTCAAAGGCATCAATTCTTCTGTCATCCTTATTCACTGCCCAGTTTTCATATGCATGTAAAGATCATGGTCTGAGTTAGATGCACCTTAGTCTTCAAATTAAAATTATTGCTCCTAAGTAATTTGGAAAAGTCCCTGACAGCAGACTGTTCTCCTCCCCTTGACCCCCAGATTGTTCTAATGTAGTATGTCTCCTGAACTCCTGACTGCTGGTGCCAAAGCTATTGATTAGAATTCAAGTAAGGCAAAATCATTCAATCTTTTTTCCATCTATCATTATATTGTCTATTGGTCCAATGGTAAGAATTGTTGATGTTCTGTGGCAAGTGCTTCAAGTCTTCCTCACTTTCAGCAAGCAAGGCTTTGCCATCTCCACTACACAGGTTGTTAATGAGTCTTGCTCCGATCCTGATGCCACATTCTATTTTGTAGGTACCAGCTCCTCAAATGATTTGCTCAGTATACAGATTGAATAGGTATGAAGGGAGGATACAACCCTGATGCACAACTTTCTTATGAAGTGTTCCTTTGTTCTGTTCATACAGCATCTTCTTGGTCTAGGTATAGGTTTCACTTGAGCATGAGTCAGTATTCTGGGATTCTCCTCAATGTTAGCCTAAATCTGTTATGATCTAAAGAGTCAAATGCCTTTGTATAGTCAATAAGATACAAATAGGCATTCTTCTGGTATTTTCTGCTTTCAGTCAGGATCCCTCTGACATCAGCCATTAGATCACCATGGCCTCTTCTAAATAAACCCAGTCTGCACTACTAGCAGTTCTCTAGCCATTTTTGGGTGATCTTCAGCAACAGTTTGCTTGCATGTGATATTAGTGATATTTCAAAAAATAATTTCAACAGGGAGAAATAAATTTCCAGAAAATGTCCGAAAGCACTTACCACTAATAAAATATAAATTAGGAAGAACAATTAAAGGTTGTAGCCTTCACAATTGCTTGCTATGCGTCAGAGAGCTGGACAATGACTAGGGATGACAGAGAACTGATGCCTTTGAACTGTGGTGCTGGAGAAGACTGTTGAATATACCATAGATTGCAAAGAGAACTAACAAGTTTGTCCTAGAGAGGGTGAAGCTAGTCTGCTCCTTGGAGGCAAGGATTCTGACATACTTTAGGCATGCTGCAAGGAAGGACCAGTCCTTGGAGAGGGACATCATGCTTGGGAGGGTGGAGGGATGGAGAAAAAGAGAAAGACCATCGATGAGATGGATTGATACAGTGACTGGGGTAATGGGGGTAGGTATGTTGGAGACTGGCCCAGGATAGAACAGGTTTCAGGGCTGTTGTACACAGGGTCGCTATGAGTTGCAAGTGACTTGACAGCACATAACAACAACAAGAACATTAAAGGAATACAGTCACTTTACCAAAAACCATTGCTTGACATGGAATCATTTCAGGAAGTGGCATATGATCAAGCATCATTGGTAATGAAAGAAGGTACCCAGACTGCATTAAAGACAGTGGGGGATGGGGAGTAAGACTCCAGGAATTGACAGGATATCAACCAAGGTGTTTAAACAAACAAATAAAACCCTGCACATGGTCATTTGTCTATGACAAGAAATTCAGAAGACAACTGCGTGGATCCTAACAAATTATGCCTAACACTGAGAAGAATGGGGATTCTAGAACAGTGAACAAATACAATGGGACGGGATCAGATTAACTCTGAGTTGCAGGAAATAAGACATCAACATTAACTCAGGTGGTTACACAAAATTATGAGAACTTTCTAACAAATATGTTCTTTCAGGTAAACAGGAAAAACAGGAAAAAAAGAAAGTGAAAGATTATGGCTACTATTAGGTTGAAAGTTCCCAGAAGGAAAAAAAACCCCACATTTATGGGATAATACAGAGAATAATAAACGAGTTATGAATAACAGTTATGAAAACTCTGTGTCCCATCATGAATGGGAATTACTGTTCTAGATCACAGTGCCGGCAAAAACAAAAGGGAGAGACACTTAAGGAGAGGAGGGAGCTCTGGGAGGATTCGGAAAGGTGAAGTGTAAAGACAATTTGTGATGTCTCAGTACAAAGAGCTTTGTTCTGCTTACGTCACAAAGCCCAGAAAAGTCCCGGCTCATTTTAAGCAGAGCAAAGCCGATGAACAATGGTCTCTGTGTGCCCAAAGTCAACCGGCAGAGCATCACAGAATGGGTCTTTGTTTTTTGTTTTTTTTAATTTTTTTTTTTTTAATTTTGTGTGCGTGTACCATCAAATCAGATCTGACCGGTACAGGAGGATATTGCACCTCCTTCTCCGGCAGAGCATCTGGATAGAATGGGTCTTAATCTCACTGTCTTTAAGCTCAGTGGAAAGATGAGATTTTACAGTAAATCGAGATGACTAAACTAGATTTTCTGAAGGCTGCCTTTGGTATTAAAGTTTTTTCAGAGCACTAGAAAACTACTGGATACTTATTTTGTAAAAGAAGTGTTTTGCATTCACTAGGTAAATAATCAAGCAGCAGGTACGTGCTGGGTACCATGCCTTCATTATAAAGCCGCAGAAATAATAATGACATTTCCAGAAATAAAAATCTTAAAAACCTTGTAAATTCTTGCGGAATTTTCATGGTTGTCAAGGTCTACATCATCAGGGGCTGGTTTAGACACAGACATACAAAAGAAGTTTATGTGTATTTTAACATTGTCGGCCTTTAGAAGCCAAGATAATTTGGTTATCAGAAAAGAGAAGAACACTCAAAAGTAACTTTGCCTCAAAA